ATCAAATTTAAACTCTTCTTCTAAGCTTCATGACCTAAGCCTTTAATTAGTCAAATCTATTTTTAAATGATCCAGTCAATGATATGAAACAGGTATTGTCCAGTGTCCTGTAAAAAAATAAAAATACAAGTTTCAAATATAGTAAATTGTTTAAAGAAGGATATTCTTTGAATATTGAAGAAGGATATTCTTTTTAAGATCTCTTTTGATCTATTAGATCCAGTTTGGAAACGATAAACTTCCTAAAAGACAAAGCGAGGAAAGTTAAAGTTTCAAAATATTTTTGGTATATCCCAGTAATACTACTAATTTTCTCTTTTTTGAAAAAGTTATTTAAAAAAAAATTCTCTTTAAAATGAAAAACTAGATTTTGCTTAACTGATAAATTCAAAGTGAAAATGTTAAAATTTTCAATTTTGTCGCTAAATGTTAATTTTTTCTTTCCTTATTTCCAATACAAAGATACTGATGGTTCTTTATCTCAACCTAACAAATCCATTTTTCTTTCTAGGGCATGCCAATCAAGTGTTTAGCGAATCTGATGGACCGGATGGATCTACTCAACAACTGATAATTGATAAAAATTGATTTAGTGGGAAGGAGTTGAGGATTGGATAAAGAATGACGGTTTGATTGATAAAAATGATTTTTAAAAGCGGGGAGCAATTGGAAAAAAGAGTTTTAAATGAAATTGAATGAAACGAGATGTTCACCATTAAAATTAATAGAACGACTATCAACCTTATAAACGAATGAAAAACAATACATTTTTGAGAAAGAACTCATGAAAATCTCTGGAAAATCTCAGTCTAAAATCAGCTATCTCGTTTTACGCGAGTCTTCTAACTCATTTGTCTGTTGCTTTGGAAAACCATCCTAAAATTTCAAAGCTAAACTTGATGAAAGTAATGGATTTTGGCATAAATAAAGCTTCCGACAAATCTGCTTGGGAACTATCTTGGAAACATCGATTTTCAATATGGATAACATGCAGAAAATGAGAAAAGGGCAATAGTGAATTCGATGTGAGCGCTGACAACCACACATTATTTTATAGTCTAAGACTTCTGGCCTAGCTTGGTTGGTTAGGCCTGGAGAAACCGTTTTCAGACCCAACTAGAGCTGGTCTGAAAGCGATTTTCCAGACGCCTAAGTAGGAGAAAGTAACATTGTCAGTAACAGAGAACCAAGATAGTAACATTGTCGGGCACGAATCAAGATGGCTAAAAATTTGCAACCTAGGTTTCGGGATGAATAATCCGAATCTGACATCAGTTTTTCACAAAAGTCAAAGCTGGGAACAGATTTGGATTCTCATTCACCCAACAAAAGTTTCCAAGAATTGTACCTTAATTTCGAGTTTGACAGCTTTGTTTGAGCACTCTGGTTTCTCAAAATCAGCGATGGCTTGAGCATTTTGAAAGATGCATTTGAGACAGAGCTTTTCATTTTCAACAAACCCAAGGCTTTTCTCTTCCAAAATCTATCTGCTTCCCAATTATTTGAGCTCCTCATTTACTGTTCACTTTTTGCATTTCTTTTCATTTCCAACCCTTTTGGCCTCTATTTTTATGTGTGTGAGAAGGGGTTTTAATGACTGAGGCCAATTTCAGCGTCTCTTTTCCCATTTCTTTTCCCCAATTTTTTTCCACATCCAAATGATCAAGTGCCCGAGAGTGCTGGAAACATTTTGTTTGAAAGATTTCAAAGCGTAATTCGAAATTGCGAGTTTCAAATGATCTAGATATGCTCTTACTTCCGTCTGAGGCTTTTCATTGTAGAATTTGTTTTTAGATTCTTTATAGAAATGATATGTGTTCTTTTATTGCGGTTTTCCAAATCAAGTATTTGAGAGTCTTGTCAAGAATAAATCAGATAAAAAGAGTCGGCTTTAGGAGAAGAGGATTACGAGTTTCAAAATGTTGATGAGTCAAAAATCCCGGGGTAGGGTAATGGTTTCGTTAGGTCATTGATCACTTAAAATATCTATAAGCAAATGAAAGAATTGTTCGGGATTTTTTAAAAGGATTTAAAAAAGCCAGTTTCAAAAGCGGTAGTTTCCTTGAAGATACTTTATGTTGATGATCCATCATTATCAATATTAGATTGAACTTCATGGCTTCAAATGTTTCGTTATTGATAGCCGTACACGTTGAAGGATTCAGTTTACCGTATTCTCTCTCGAATCTCTCACGGCGCCGAGTTGAGAGCTATTTTACGGTTTCGAAGCTTTTGCAGAGGCTGAACACTCGAACTTCCCACAAAATCTGATCGTCAGCTGCTTCGTCAGCTATCGTCAGCTACGTCAACTACAATATCTCATCGTCAGCGTCAGCTACACTTTCAGATCTCACTTCGATAGATTCTGATAAGCACTTTTCGAGATTACGAGGAATTTAGACGACGCTCTCGGTGCACTACTATTAGAGAAAATACGGTAATCCGTTTGATCGTTTGATAAAAGGTGTCCCTTTTTCTAATCTTATTTATTTTGTATCTAATCTATTGACTTTTTGCCTTTTTCTGTGTGATTTCACAAAAGATATCTAAAGATATAAAAAGTGGATGAATAAATTCAGCATAACTGAGCGAAAGTGAACATTTAAAAGCCATTTTAAAGCCATTTTTAAGCTATCTTTCCCAAGCTACAGTGCTTGATCGGGTTTTTTTAAAAAACCATGTTTCAAATTTTTTGAATTAAGCACTTCCTTCGCTCGATGAATAGATAAAAGATAGAGAATCATGTATCATCACAAAAAATCATGTTTCGAAGTAGTAAAGGTGTAAGCGATTGGCGAAATTTTAATACGAGGTACGTTTAGATGTGTTTCATTCAATTGTTTTAGTTGAAATGTTGCTAACGAAGTCTCGATTCTTTATTGTTTTTCGGAGTTTAACTTTCGGAGACACTGTAGATTGAGTGAAGGAGGGCAATTTTCTGAGTAAAAATTTTCATGCAAAATAATGGCTAAAGCCTGAAGATACGTTCATCAATTGTCGTTTTGAGCTTTAAAAGGATTACTGTGGATTTCCAGGATGAATTTACGAGAATTGTTCGTCTTTTTAAGTTCTTTATGTGATAGAAATGGGTTTTAAATGAATTTAAATGATTTTCTAAAGAGATTTACCTTTTTTGACAGTCTTGAAAAAATTGAGTTTCAAAGTTTTTTAAGGTATTTTTGATGAGAGAATGGTTAATGACTTTCTTCAAAATACGATTCCGATTCTTTTGCTCATAAATAAATCTGATTTTTTTTGTTTTTAAAAACAAAGGCATTGAATAGCTTTAAAAAGTCTTAAATAATATAATAAAAATGATGCAGTTTACACTAAATTCATACCGAAATTGATGTCTTAAATGTTGACCCAATTTGCTGCTGATCACCACCAGTGACAATCGATCCTTTGTGTTCATTGTGTTCATTTCATTGCTTTTCTTTTTCTTTACTAAATCTAACCATTTGCATCTTCAACTTTTGATTAAATTAAAAAATAAATTGATTGAGATATTATTGAGACTTTCAAAGCATTTGAATATTCAAAAACTGATTCAAGATGAGGCCTTTGCCCATTCTCCTATTCGTTTCCCGCACGGGATGGCGTTAGCCGGGCACGTACAAATCCCGCTACGCCGCGTCAAGTCGATATGGAGAAATTGATGGAAGAGGTTTGACAAAAGGAAGAAAGTAAATAAAACTAGATTCTCAGCCAGCTTTTATATTTCCCATTGTTTTTTCGCGAGCTCAATAATCGAAAATTGCGATGAAATGTGAAATTATTAAATTATTTTCCATGTGATTAAGGCAAATTGATCGGATGATTTTTTGAAATACAGCTTCCTCTGTAAAACAGTCTCGACTTTTCACACAACCGGAAAAATGTCCAGTTAATTGGCAAGGTTTAAGACTGGCTTTGCTTCGAAATTGAACATTTAAAAGCCATTTTAAAGCCATTTTTAAGCTATCTTTCCCAAGCTACAGTGCTTGATCGGGTTTTTTTAAAAAACCATGTTTCAAATTTTTGAATTAAGCACTTCCTTCCGCTCGTTTAAGTCCGGTGTTACATTTGGATTTCAAATTTTACCCATCACTTTATTGACTTTCTAATCTCGTGTTTTGTTCATTAATTTCCCGCGAATTTCATAAATCCTTGATTGATCATTTTTCGATTTGTTTTGTGCGATTTGTTTCTCTTTTCCACATCTCAGTTCCCCGTCTTCTTTTCGATTCTCAGCACATTTGAAAGGGCTTGTTTTGTGCGAGGCCAAATCATCCTTCCCAACACACAACCAAACATGGATGGAGAAAGTGGGTATGATGAGGTGAAGATTCACGATATATCTATCTATATAGTATATATCTATCTATATATATGTTACATTAATTTCCCTTCGCTATTCACCGAGGGTGGGTTGTTTTATGATAAAAGCACGACACCTTTTTCACTTTTTTCTAACTTTTTTCAACAAGTTCTTTGTTGACAAAGTGTAATCGATCTTGGTTTAGATCTCAACAAACTGAAGAGAAACTTTGAGTTGATTATAGTGTTTTTTAAACTTTAAGCTTTTAAAATCATTGTGACATTTTGGCGCGGAGAGGACGAGTCTGCAAATCATCGAAAATTATGATATCAATAGAATGGTTAACTACGGAAAGACTTGTGTTTGCTAGAAATCCGTGCAGTATTGTAACTATTTTTATGAAATTGAAAATCGAATCAATAGAACGATGGGTCTGAATTGAAATGAAAAAGCACTGTTTCTGATGCTATCGTCGATCACATTCACACATTCACGTGACAAGTCCTCAAACGGTGTATTCTTTGAGAATGCGATTCATCGATAGTCCTCGTATACTTATTCGCGAATTCCCCCGTTCGACTTGCCCTTCGCTATTCACCTCCGAGGTGGGTTGTTTTATGATAAAAAGCACGACCTTTTTCACTTTTCTAACTTTTTTCAACAAGTTCTTTGTTGACAAAGTGTAATCGATCTTGGTTTAGATCTCAACAAACTGAAGAGAAACTTTGAGTTGATTATAGTGTTTTTTAAACTTTAAGCTTTAAAATCATTGTGACATTTTGTGCGTGGAGAGGACGAGTCTGTAAATCATCGAAAATTATGGATTCCACTACAACTTGCTCCAAGAAAACTTGTTTTTAAGTTTTTAATTTTAACTACAACTAATGTTTTATCTTTTTCTTTCAGATTCGCGCGTGGACGGATAGTGAACTCTACGATGCCATCATTTGTACAGAGTATCGGGTGGGTGTCTTGATTTTATGGATATGGTATTAAGCCATGATAATAGCCAAAACCAACAAGTCTCTTTTTGAGTCTATTTTACTTTTTTGGATAAAGAAACGAGTAAGATTAGCCCAAGCAAAGAGGTGGTCGACTCGGTGAATAGCGAAGGAAAGTCGAATGGGGAAATTCGCGAATGAGTATGCGAGGACTTCTGTGATGAATCGTTATCAAAGAATACACCGTTTGAGGACATTGTCACGTGAATGTGCGAAATGTGATCGACGATAGCATCAGTGAAAAGTGAGGCGTGCTTTTTCGCTGGCAATCAAATTTTATTGTTTTATGATTACAATTTTCAAATAAAAATAGTTACAATATGACACGGATTTCAAAGCAAAAACAAGTCTTTCCCGTAGCAGATCATAGCAGTAGAGTAAATAGTGAGTGTCCTCCCGGGCGTAGTGCATCATTTCTGCGGGGAGTGGTCTGAAAATGAAAGGAATAACATAAACCCCAATGTTTTTCAAACCTGACACGCCAATCGGTCATCTGGAATTCCTTGAGTTGTACTTGACACAGCGTCAACAGGTACTAAATAAATGTAATTTAGCTCAACAATAAGTATCTTTGACTGGTTTTTGTAGACAAACTTGTAAGCTATGTTTTGGTAGACCCATCGACAAGCAGGAATTTGCTTGGTTTATGTTGATGGTAAGACGGCAAATCGTCCAAAACTCAATCGTTCTAATGCCAACTCGTTTCAAGGGTTTAGCTCCACGAGCTATCTAATAGTTACTATTCCATAAATTCTTATGGCTAAGTTTCTTGAATTCCTTTGTTATAGATGGATCTTCAACCAACCATGCGTTCTTTGAGACGAGCCTCAACTGTACCCCAATAGAAACCGACTTTTGACAGCCCTAAATTGATTGACGATTTTAAACTCGAGGGCTTGTTGAGCTTACGTATGATTAGATTTCGTGTATTCGTTCCCATTATTCGTGCTCGTGGAGCTAAACCCTTGAAACGAGTTGGCATTAGAACGATTGAGTTTTGGACGATTTGCCGTCTTACCATCAACATAAACCAAGCAAATTCCTGCTTGTCGATGGGTCCTTCTAAACAAGAATGCACAATTGTTTAAATACAAAAAACTGACTTCTTCAAAAGTTTCTTGCACTTGATCTTCATATTCTACGGCTTTAGTTCCTGGTCTTCGATTGCACCGTCCACATCGGGATCATAATTCTTCATCCCACGTCATCGAACCATCATCGCGCTGTTCTAAAATCAATAAGTTTGGCATTACAAGTAATTCTGCTCATAACCGGCCGATTCCAATGTAATAAGATGAGTATAGCCAACATGATTGCTCGCCGATGATGGGTGATTCTTGGGAGAATGGAGGCACAGGAGCTTTCTTCTAAACAAATATTTGAGAAAGCATGGAAAAACCGCAACCTTATTGCTTCCTCTGCGACGCTTGAAGATTGAATCCAACGTTCGGTTGCCTAAAAAAGAACATTTGTCAGTAAATAAAGAAAATTTACTCCAACCTTCAAGTGGCTCATTTCCTCTACAGTCAAGCTTTCACCCGATCAATTTCGTTCGTTGCCGATCCCTCGTCAGCAACCGAGTCAGCCAAATCGTCGGGAAAGTCCATCCCTTTGCGCGTTTGCCTCTTGCGGCTGTTTGCGAATACCGTTCTAAAAAGTGAAACATTAAAAACATAATTGTGAAACGATACTTGGTTGCTGAAATGACATCACCGATCATCGTTTCATCGTCCGCGTTGAACACGACGATTCGACATGGCAATCCTTTCCTAAAATTTAATAACGAGAATAAACAGTAAAAAGAACAGTGCTGATAATCGAAAATGTTGAATAAAAACAAAAAGGTTGTTGTTACTAGAGTGTCCTTGCTTGCAACTGCAACAGAAGAAACGAAAAGAGGAATTAGTCAATGTAATACGGAAAGGAGTACGGTCGCTTTGCCGCGTTTTATTCGCGACTCATGCAAAAGGAGAGGCCAAGAGATCTATCAGTGATTGGAAAATCGGATTTTGACATGAAATTTAACAAGCGCTGCCAAGGGATTAAAATTGGCATAAACCCATAAGTTGACTACTTGATTTTAAGGGGAATCTACCAAAAAGGAAATGGATTCAAAGTTCAATGAATAGCTAGCAACTGACTATCAATTACGTAAAGCAATGGTTGAGTTGAGCAAACCTAGAAATTGTGGAAATTCAGTAGCCGAAGACTAATAGAAGCTTTTTGAGAAGTTTGTTCGGAGAAAAAGTTAGAATCCCGCATTGAAGGCTTGGGTTTGTGCGCCCCGATGAATTTCCCCCAGTGTTCCTCACCATTTTGAACGATGCACTCGTCGCGTACGCGTTTCATATCTAAATTACCCAGTTAGCCCAAGAATTAGTTTGTAAAAGAATACAACAACGAGTATTATTTGAGAAAGGGAACTTGTGATCACTTTCGATGCCACTTTTGAATCTAATCATTGACATATCTTTAGCTTGTATTTAGCTCTTTTCCGATCCTCGCAATGTGGTAGGTGCCGATTTTCTTTTTGCTTTCTGTCATGGTGTCACAGTCTTTCTCTTTTCTCTTGATTTCTCATGAACGAGTCTGCGTCTCGGAACGAAAACTCGCTGTCTATCAAAGCAAAAATGTTTTTTTGGAAAAGAATACCTAAAATTCGCTAGTATTGATCGAATATCGACATATATTCGTAAAAGCTATTGAATAATGCCAAAAGTACCAATTGCTTTCTCAACGATCCCGAATCAGTTGATAGAACTAATATTGGACAAACCGGGTCCAAAAGAGAATCTTCAACTCTTAAAAACCAATCATTATCTTCGCCATAAAGTCTTGTCTAACGGTCTATTCGGGAAACGAGCTGATAAAGCGGATTTCGATTTTATCGAAAATTCAAATTCTTTCATTGCTACTGTCACGAAGAATGAATCTTCTCACGAATTCGATCTCTTGCAACAAAAATCTTTCTCTATTTCACTTCTAGGAAACGTTACAAGCATTCGACATTTGAACTTTAATGATGGCTTTCGCGATTTGCAATTGGAAGAGGACGAGATCCGCGCCGCGCTCAAAGAGCCCGCGCTCAAAGTTTTGCTAAAAAAAGTGAAACTTGTGGAGTGTTTGCATCTCGAACACATCACGGAAACCTGGTTGGACCTGATCTGTGACGTATTTAACTGTAAAGTCACGGAATCGGCGCATTTCGGCACGGAAACGGAAGATTCTGCAGAACTGGGTGCCGCTCATGGTTTGATAAATTTCATCGAAAGTGGACTGAGTTTTTGCAAGGCAATTTTACTTCATGATTTAACACCTTATGATTTAACATTTTCACTTGACGAAGAATTGTGGCAGGCCCTATTGAAGACTCGAGTTGAGTTCATTGAAATTAACGCGCCCTATGGAATGCCGAAGTGTTGCCCAGAATGGATAATAAAAAACGTATTGCCCAGTGAAAACGAGAATTGCCAGATCCTCATTTCTCTTCGATTTTATCCGAACGACGAGGATGATGACGAACATGATACTTTTGCTGCTAATCCTTTATGGAAAGTGCAGAAGATGTGAAGCTTTGTAGAGAAATGGAGTTGGAATTCGAGAGGAAGGCTTTTCTACAAAGTTGAGGACTTTATTTCAGTGCAGTGTTTTAAGAAGAGTGGTTGCGTGGATGATTTGAGATTTTGATGGCCAAAGAACCCAGGCGAACTTACGGCGCTCTCGAGCGTGATACTTTTGTGATGCATTTCTTTTGTGAGACGATTAAAGTTCGAAGCGATGCTTGTTTTGACTCTGACTTTAATTCAAATCAATCCTCAAAAACTACCATAGTTGTAACTTACTTTTATCTAATCTATGTACTAAAATCTTTTCACGTGTTTCAAGAATCATCAATGAAGCTTCAGAACAAGCTATTACTTTATAGTTTTACCAATTCAAAAGATTTTTCAAAAGTAATGCTTGTTTGCTTTAACTTTGCGTTTTTAACTTACCATTTTCTTATAACTTGTTTTTAGAATATTAGTTGATTTAAATCATTTTTGTATTTGATATATTTGAATTTGATATCTGTCACCCTTTAGTTTCCAAAACCATTTCTTACTCTCCATGTTTCTGATCTAAGAATAATAAAAATTATATAAAATCATCAAAAAGCATAATGGCAAAATAAATAAAAACATTTCAATCAATTTTCACAAAAAAGGACCGATAAACAGCTCGTAAATGTTTTACAAGAAATTTACGGTAACAAATTTTTTAAACACATTGAAGCGAACAAGGCAAGTACAGAAAAGGCAAGTCACGCTATTGTACCTCACACCAAAAATTCTGGAGTTAATTGGATATTTATTTTAAATGTAGCTGAGACTCTACGCTTCATTTACGACCGATCGTCAAAGTTGCGGCGCAAAATGTGTCAAATCCTTCAATTTTTGTATGGGATTTGACACAGTTTGGGTCACAACTTTGAAGATCGATTTCAACTACTTCCCGGCATCGAATCGAACTGGTTTTTTTAAAAATATGGCTGAAACTACGCTACATCTAAAAAAATGTAGAACCCTCCACTTATACGCGTTTTACGGTTTAGTCAAAGCTCGAATTAGGCCGGAAATCCCGGCCTATATTCGAGAGTCTTCCGACAGGTCCATCATAGTTTGCTTGTGTGAACCGGCTAGTTGTCCAGGTAGTACAGCCATCTTTGAGGTAGTGTTTGGCTCGCAAATGGAAGTAAACGTGGCTCGTGTATCGAGTATCGTGAGACTCGATCTTGAATTGATCGTCTCGAGTGGACCGACCACGTTTCTTGTCATCAAAGAAACTTTTCACGTAAAAACAATCACAATAAAGTTGGACTTAATTGCGCCGATTTGAATCTCTAAATTTCTCAAAAAGATTTACACAATTTGATTCAGTTTGCTCGTTCGGCTCCTTGCACGGCAAGTCGATCGGCCATCTCATTCCCATAAACACCCGGGTGTTTCTCGTAAACAACCTGAAAAAATCAGCAAAATGACGGGGTTTCATTCCCAAATAGCTGTTGTGCTAATGTTTAAATATTCATCAACTTCCAAGGTCTTGTTAAAGTTTAAAATAGATATTACCTGAATCAACTCGCCAACCGCCAATCAACGCGCAATCAACTCGCCTGAAATCAACTCGCCCAACCTCTTTATCAATTCGGTGTTTTTCACTGGTTCTCCGGAGCCCGTTTACCACCCTAAACCCAAAAATTGTTACTTTGACCATGTTTAAGTTAGTATTAACTTTTAAATTTAGCCAAATTTACGAATTTTCACAAAACTTGCATTTCACAAAACATTTGAAGCGAAACTACTAAGTGTATCTTTTTGGAAATTTGGCTATAAGCTTGATTTTTGATTCTCAACAAGCCAACTTACGACGAGGACGATGACGAGCATGATGACATGACTTTTGTGATGCATTTCTTTGTGAGACGATTAAAGTCGAAGCGATGCTTGTTTTGACTCTGACTTTTAATTCAAATCAATCCTCAAAAACTACCATAGTTGTACTCTACTTTTATCTAATCTATGTACTAAAATCTTTTTCACGTGTTTCAAGAATCATCAATGAAGCTTCAGAACAAGCATTACTTTATAGTTTACCAATTCAAAGATTTTTCAAAAAGTAATGCTTGTTTGCTTTAACTTTTGCGTTGTTAACTTACCATTTTCTTATAACTTGTTTTTAGAATATTAGTTGATTTAAATCATTTTTGTATTTGATATATTTGAATTTGATATCTGTCACCCTTTAGTTTCCAAAACCATTTCTTACTCTCCATGTTTCTGATCTAAGAATAATAAAAATTATATAAAATCATCAAAAAGCATAATGGCAAAATAAATAAAAACATTTCAATCAATTTTCACAAAAAAGGACCGATAAACAGCTCGTAAATGTTTTACAAGAAATTTACGGTAACAAATTTTTTAAACACATTGAAGCGAACAAAAATTGTTAAAGTGTCAGAAAAGGCAAGTCACGCTATTGTACACCAAAAATTCTGGAGTTAATTGGATATTTGGATTGAATCCTGATAGGACATCCGTGGTGAGTTTTAAAAGTTAATACTAACTTAAACATGGTCAAAGTAACAATTTTTGGGTTTCGGGTGGTAAACGGGCTCCGGAGAACCAGTGAAAAACACCGAATTGATAAAGAGGTTGGGCGAGTTGACGCAATCGATCCGTGTGGGATTTTGTATGGGATTTGACACAGTTTGGGTCACAACTTTGAAGATCGATTTCAACTACTTCTTCGTCTGTTTAAAAATATTGAATGCCTGGATTTTCTTCTAGAGCCAAAGAATGCATTTAACACCTACCGTTTCCAAGCACCGTACACCAAGTTCCAGGTGGCTTTGCTTGGCGCTCGTCAGGCTCGTCACCCTCTACTAACCGCTCTTCTCTTCTCGGCCGGCATCATTCTCTTCTGTGGCCCCTGCTATCATTACAGTATCACCGGCGAGGAGAAGCTGCGGAAATTCACGCCAACCGGCGGTACTTTGTTTATCCTCGGCTGGTTGTCGTTCATTTTGTAAAGTTTCTTGTAAGTTATGATTACTGTAGGCATGCCATAGAATAGCCAGGTCAAGCCAAAAATTGAATCATTTGTCAATTCATTTGTTATTTGTTCGAATCTCTTCCTCTACAAGTGCTTTAGGACACTTCTTATACAAGTGC